CTCAGGCTGGTCTCGAACTCCTGAGCTCAAACAATCTGCCCGCCTCGGCCTCCCAGAGAGCTAGGATTACAGGCGTGAGCCACTGCGTCCGGCCTCAGAGTCTTTGTTTTAACTGGCTTTCGAATGCCGAGCAAGAACGAATCACACTCATTCCGGACAGTAAACGGGCTTCGGGATGGAATCCGTACATCCGGGCTTCCCTGGCCTGTGGGTAACACACGGAGTCAGGGACAGTAACGTGTTTCACAGACTCCTCCGACCCCGGTCCCCGCAGAGCCCTCCTGATATCCTACGCAGCTCTGTCCCAAGTCTCCCGAGATCCCAGCTAAGGCGCCATGACACTGTCCCACTGCTGCCTCCCTGACCACCTTGGCCAGAGTCACCACCTTTTCTACCAGGCACGTCACTGCTACTTCCGCCTCCCACCAAGCCCTGCCGACAGCTGAGCCCGGGGGTCTCAAGGCGTGTCATGGTCTGCGAAAACAGGGAGATAAAGCCGCGGAAAGCTTTTTGGCAAACATCAAAGAGCTTGGTTTGTGGGAAAATGTCTAAAATAAGGATAGCTTCACAGAGCGGTGGTTGTTCCAAGTGCCTTGCACGCGTATCTCGTTTACTCCTTAAAAGTGTAGGTGACGTTATTCTCTACGCTTTACAGCTGAGGACACGGGCGCACGGAGAAGTCAGGTACCTGGCCCACAGCAGAGCAGCACGCACACAAAGACGTAAGGTGTACGCCACGGAGGAGGTGCAGCTAGAAAGGGCATGGTGGGAACAACACATGAAATGGAACCCAAACAGTGTTCGACTGTTCTATTAATAAAAATTCAGTACGATTTTGAGGCATTTTTCTCAAATGAGGAATTATTTTTACCAACCACGTAAAGTTTGGGACTACTGGGGATGAGAGGATGACTCAGGGGTCAGAGTGTACAGCAGTTCTCAGGTGCGAGACCACACAAAAGGCTTGCCTTTCTCTTCAACAGTTCTCCGTATCGTAAACCATTTCTGTTTCTATCCAAGGCTAAAACCATCCATTTCACATTGGCTTTACACTGGTGATTTTCATCAAAGTACATATTTTCCTATCAGCACGGCAACCCCGTGAGGGGTGCCCCATTGTCGTGTGCTGTGAAGTAGAGCCCGGCTCAGCCTGGCAGAGACTCTCCCAAGGTGACCTCATCTCTCCACCTGGAGCTGTGGCTCAGCTGGACCTGCAGGATCCAGTAGATCCCAGCCTCTCTGGGACCTTGTCTCATAAAGCAACCTTTGGTTCGTCCCTTTTAAACTCGTTCTGACCTCTCAGTCTACCCATCTTCTCTGAAGACACTGTCATGACTTCTTTACATTTCCTGCCAAGTGTTCAAAAGTACTTTTGTTACCTGCTTCACCACTCGCTTGCTCCTTGGCAATCAGAGCTACGCCCCCACTTGTCCAGGTAATTCTAAAGTCTCACATGTGCTACATCCCACAGCAATCTCTCCCCCATCTGCCTTTGTGCACGAAACGACACTAATGAAAACAGCAGAAGGGCCGTGCAAGCAGATGACTCAGACCTCACAAGGAAAGACGGACAGGTCTACAGGCAGGTAGGGGAGCAAACCAATTGTTCCCCTCTTCCCACCCCAGAACAGTCAGCGG